CTGAGCGAGGAGGGGGTGCCTGCCTGTTCACCGGGTAGCTTCCGTGGGGGGCGGGGAGGAAGTGGGGAGACCCCTTCACAGCGGTTGCTAAGGAAGCTTTCTCTGCCAACTTGGGGCAACGCTGCACACGCTTCCTCAGCCTCTTGGGGACTGTTTCCCTGCCGGCCACACACAAGCCTCAGTCCTGAGGGCCGGCTCCACTCCCCTGGCCGTGTGCTTCCCGATTCCGTCTTGCTCAAAACCACAGAAATGTTTCCTCGGGGAGTGAAGTAGGAACTACAGGCAGGTACTTCTTTCCTTTGTTGGAAAGATACAACGAAACCATTCAGAGTTCCCAGGGAGCTTGTGACCCTATGGCATTGCTGGCACAGACAGCTTCACCGGGGTAACAAACGGTGCGTGTGAGTCAGGGAACAATCCCGGGACAGGAACCCGTCAGAGCGTCCTCTCCGAGGCAGGAGCGCCTGAATCGGGGCCGGTTCCACGAGAATGAATCATGTTCACTTTTCACTCATTTGGGTCCATAGCGTTTCTTTTTTAGGCCGCTGGTTTCACACCCATCTCCCACCCCCTTTGTTGTCCTTTAAGAAAATAATCAAGAACAGAAGGACTTAAACCACCAGGAAAATCAGCTGGAGAGAAAGAGGCATGTCTTACCTAAGTGTTATATACCTCAGGGAAGGAATACTTCTTCACCTCTCTGCTAGAAATAGTCCCTTCGGATTCTGAGTCCAGACTCGTTCTGTTTCTAACGCTGAATGGCTGCAGAACTCCTACTTACCCCATTTGGCCTCTAAAGGCTTTCCTTTTCTTTTTGTAAAATGTAATTTTATTTCAGAGAGAAAGGGAGAGGAAGAGAGAGAGATAGAAACATCCATGATGAGAGAGGGAAACACTGATCGGCTGTCTCCTGCATGGCCTCTTCTGGGGATCAAGCCAGCAACCTGGGCATCTGCCCTGACGGGGAATCGAACTGTGACCTCCAGATTCATAGGTTGATGCTCAACCACTGAGGCACACTGGCCGGGCTAAAGGCTTTTCTTTACATGAAGAAATCCAGCAGCGGAACATCTCCGTTCTCCCGGTGGAATGAAAAGGACCAGGGGATCTACATGAGCATCTAAATTTTAGATTCTGAAAGGAAAGGGATGTGAGCACAGTAAGACTTGCTGAAAGCCACCAGGAAAAGGGTCTCCCAGGGCTGGATGCTGGTAATAATCTTTCATACTATTCACCCCGATCGCACCCCTGCTGCAGGGTAGCTGGGCGGGCAGGGGGTAGTCGGGACATCAGTTACCATCCCCTCTGCCTTCACAGTAGCCAGGGGTACGCGCCGAAGCCAGTTATGCAGAACGAGGCTGTGGTGGTTTCTGCACAGTCGATAGCGTGAGTGCAGGAGTAAGGCAGCTTTAATTAAAAGACAAGCAGCTAATCTGCAATCACCACTCTGGGAAAACTCCCATTGATAGGGAGTTCAGGAGAGAGGCAGACTGGGGAGCACTTGCAGGGTGATTTCCATCACAGTTTTAAAGCTACAGCACAGAGTATAATTATAGAACCGCCCGACTTCCTGGCATGACAATGGATAATTAAACTCTGTGGATGTTCTAAATACAGACTCAGTGAGGAAGCGCACCTGGGGGCAGCACCATTAGCCCCGAGTAAACTTCCTCAGTCTTTCATCTGTTAGCGAACTTGGCATTTTTAGAAAGAAAAGCCCAAAACTGGGCCTTGAAACAGGTTTTTCAAGAATGGGGGTTCCCCGGTCCTGGGGGGGGGGGGGGCGGGGGAGGGAGGGACAGTCATTGTTAAAGGGCGGGGTTGCACCTGGGAGGAAGGGGCTCTGGAGATGGACGGTGGTGATGGTTGCACAGCCATGTGACTGCACTTAATGCTCCCGACTGTACAATTAAAAACGGTAAAATTGGTCAATCTTATATGAATTTTACCATAATTTTTAAAAAGAGGTAAGTTGTTTCCCCATAAATGGGTTAAAAGTCACTTACATTCAATTTTTCTTCCACGAACACCATCTACCTGGTCCTTTAGGCAGCAGGTCAGAAACTCTAAGGAGATCATTTCAGGCAGTAAAATAAACTAAAAGGCGGCGGCATCTGGTTACTCTGACCAACTTGGGGTCTAATTGGCTTGCTGCATGATTAATGCGACCAGTATTTTAGAAAATGGTGTAATTTATTTCCAAGACAGGCCCATAATCGCCTCTCTGCAATCCTGAAGAGCTCTGAAACCCAAACTTGCTTCCCTAAGTTTGGATCAAGAACGTATTTGGTGGCAAAACCTGACCCGAGCCCGCACCGGCCCACAGAGGCTGCGTTTACCCACTCGCTGCGCACACGCACACATTGGGCTGCGGAAATATTCCCTGGTGGACAGCGTCACTGCCCCATCGTTCCACCTGAAAGGGCGCCGTCTCACATGTAGTGCAAGCGCCATGCCACAGCGATGGGAAAATTATGCGTTTCCTAACAAACCTGGTTCTGAACGTTTCAAAGAAGAGGCAGTGGATCTCTATGAAATTAATCACATCCGATTTAGATCAATATTTCCCAAGCATTGATCATTCTCTACCAAAATCACCATTTTGCCAGATCCAGACATCACTCGTGTTATTATATTCCCTAGTACTTGCCCTCACGGTGACTCAGCTTTGTTTATTTGAATAAAATTCCAACTTTAAAGAAATATCTCTAACTGTAAAAGCCGAGTTTCTGAGAGGTCTACCCTGTGGGACAAAGGAGATTCTGAAGAAGCCCACAGGTGTTAAAGGCACAGGAGTGCCAGACCGAGACTCTCACCCTAAATCATCAGAGAGACAAAGAAAACGGAAAGGGAACCCCTGCCTGCCCATGTGACTCAGTGTCCCCCGGGCCAGGCTGGTGAGCAATCTCCTGTCTCCCGTCATCACTCTGTTTCTCAGGAAATGGCTCGCTGAGACGGCAAGTCTTGTGGGGGTGGGGGACCCGGCTGTACAAAAGCATAAAGTAGCAGCGAGGGGGGTGGGGGGAGGGATAAACCCTGTGTCCCACTTCCAGGCTGTCACCATAATCCGCCAGACTGAGCTGGGCCATGCACCGCCATCTATTTATCAAATTGGCACCAAAGTTACCCTGAGTGCAACCCCCTGGCTCATCCATAGCTGCGCTGGCCGAAGGCCTCCTCAGATGCCTGTGTCTAGAAGCGAACAGGCCGACCAACCAGAACCTGAGCCAGACCAGCAGGACCCTCAGCCCTTCATACACTTCAACAGCAGCCACTGCAAAGAACAGCCTTCAGAACCAGCAGAGACAGATTTGTTAGGAAAAGAAAATCAGTCCGTCTTCAAAAGTACCTTCAGCATCAGCTCCCGGAACACAGACACGGGACAGCAGGGAAAGTCTTCCCGCACAGAGGACTGAGAGTGAGGAAATCTCCACTGTGCAACTACCAGGAATTTAAAAATAATAAGTGTACACTGATTGAATGCGGTGATCAAAATGACCATCACCAGCCAGGGGCAGACAGACACCGTGAGCCTCTGGAGGTGCTGAACTGAGAAAGACAACATCCGTTCAGGAGTTTTCCTGAATCGAACGGACGTCAGACAGACACAAACTGACGGTGATTCCGCAAAATACCCAGCCTGCAGTCTCCCAAAGTGTGATGAAGATGAAGAAAGGTTGCAGGACTTTCCAGATTCAAGACACGTGTCTACCAAAGTACGCGCTCCCAGCTGGGTCCCACCCAGAATAAAAGGCTGCAGAGGGCAGTGGCGCCGCTGACAGAATCGGGATATGGAGGGCAGGGAGGTAAAACAACGGCATCAGGTTAAATTTCCCGCTTTTGATGACAGTGGGTAAGTGAGAAAACGCCGGTTTTGTCAGGAAATGCACACTTACGAAGGGGCCAGGGGGCGCCACGCTCTCTAACTCTCCGGTTCAGAAAAGCTATGCTGGCAGGCAGAATCGGATACAGGGTGACAACAGGTGACTATGGGGACAGGCGGCTGGGACGAGGTCCAAGATGACACCTGCTCCCTGCCCACCGGCCGCCACGGAAGCCGCCGCCCCCGCCCAGCTCCCCGGCGGACTCACCATCCTCCTGAGAATCCGCAGCAGCAGCTTCTGCTCCTTGGGGTCCTCCTTGGATGTCAGTGAGTCGGCAAAGCTCTCTGCGTTCTCCGGGGACAGGCTGTCCGGGTTTTCTCCCCCGTAGAGCTGAACCAGGATGGACAGACACTTGGATGAAACTTCAAAAATTTCAGGATCCTCAGCAGGAAGCTGAAAAGAAACACACAGGACTGCTTAGGCTCCGTCAGAGAGGGCGCTGGTGTCCCTCAGGAACCACAGTAAAATCTGCCTTCACGGGGAAAACATCAGTCTGTGCACAACATCGGACTAATTGAATGGTGAGGGGTTTTTGGAATGGATCGTTTTCAAAATGCACACAGTGACTCAAAGAAAGCTCACATCACAAAATCCAAAGGAAGTCCTGCAGTACTTCCTGTACTCCACAGCAAAGAAAGCCTGGAGCAAGCAGGGGCCAGCATAGGTTTTACATACATATATTTAATGCATATGTTCATACAGGGCTGTGTGTGTGTGTGTGTGTGTGTGTGTGTGTGTGTGTGTGACTATGGGTGTGAAAACTGTATGAAATTTTCTGAGGCATGCCCCTTACAGTGTTGCTTACTATTAACTTGCTTAGAAAAATTCACTTCCTAGAAGATATAATGGAACACTTTGAACTTGTCTGTGTCCAAATCATTATCAACTAAATAGGTAGGACATAAAGCATTGTTTTTGCATGTACTCAAAGGTTCTTTTTTAAAAAATTGGGTGCTAGAACTAAATCTAAAACTTCTCAGAAAAATCATAGGCAGAATCTTTTTGACCTTGAGCGAGGGAATGATTTCTTAGCTAGAACTGAGAAAGTACAATGTACAAAATGGAAAATGGACTTCATCTAAATTTTAAAAAAACAACTTCTCTTTGAAAGACTGTCTAGTTCATTAAATGCTCAATACAAGGTGGATATTACACCACCACCCCCATCAGAAAGGGTCCCTTTAATGGAGATTATGAAAAAGTGTTGCATCAGACCCCCAAACTAGACCATGCTTCTTGCCCCAAGTAAATGTCTCCCTTTTGTATACCCCACTTTCTGGATGATGCACATCTTGTAAGTGATTATATGTCCATTTCTGTCCAGCAACCAGGGCTCAAGGCCAAGACCATGGCTCAACTTTTGCAATTATATTAGATTTCATATTTGTACTGAAAACTCACCCTATCCTACCTTCATTGATTTACTCATGTTTTCTACTTTATAAAGGCTCTCCAGACTTGAAAAAAAAAGGAGCATCCAATTAAGTTTGAATTTCAGGTAAACAATGAATCTTTTTTAGTGTAAGTAAATGCATCTTATATTTTATCTGTCAACCCTAACTTTATTGTAAACATTGTTATTTGCTAAATCCAATGTTTTGTGAGAGAGATGAGATCAGAGACACACACATATATACACATAAAACTTGGAAATATCTCAAAGTAAACATTTTGAATTTTAAAACTGTATTAAAACAATTTCAAATCACATTTGTACTGCTTAGTTCCCTTTATGTAAAAGGAGAAAGATTTTGAACTGCAATCTACACAGTACAATGCATTTCAAAATCTTTCTCCTCTTACATTCCATTTTAAAAATATTGCCTGGTGCAGTGTTTTGTCAAAAATTATATAGGAATATTTAATGTCAGAGAATATATTAACCAAGAAAAAAAAATAACCACTTAATAATAACAATATTTCCCACCCTTTTTTGCTATCTAAAGGCACCTGAGGAAGTAGCCCCTCTGTGTTGCTGGGACATCTTTAAGGAGAATTCACAGCAGCCATCCATCCTTACTCCCCTGCATTTTAATACAGCCATCGCTCTCGCCCAAATCGGCTGCAGAGGCAGCAGAAGCTATCATTACGCTGATGAATGGCAGCAATTCCGGATGACATCACCCAAGGAAACACCGCTGCCCGCGGCCCTGACGCTGCCCGCTTTGCCTTGAGAGGATGCTCTCGTTTCACTGACCCCAGGCTCGTTGTTACTAAACGCAGAAATTTAGAGGGAAGAAAACCGGCCACTGCCATCACTGATTTAGTTATTAGTCTATAAATCATTGAGAGTTTTTTTAAAAAAACAAGTTGAAGGACACTGGTAGGTCAACTCAGCCTTGACCTCTGGGCTTCCGGCACTGTCCTGACTTTCCTAACGAACTTCCCGTTTTCCTGGCCAGGCACTAGAGAACGGGGCAACAGTCACTTCAGAATCGTAGAGGGGGCTTAACCAATTCTCTGAAAGCAGCGCAGTTGCAGGAACCGGAGGGGGTGAAGCTACGCCAATGCTGACTGTGACCGCCAAGGTGCGGGGCTTCGTGTAGACGCTTTGGCCTGATCACGTGTCACTTGCTGCTCTTCCCGACTTTCCACGTTGGATGTGCAGGTGGAGCATGCTGCCACTGGCTGGGAGAAGGATGCTGGAGAGAGTCCTCCAAGAAATAACCCAAGTCCCACGATGCTTGCGCCCCTCACCAGCCATCTTCCACACAGGAGCCCCGGCGGTTATTTTTAAACACTTTGATCAGATCCTACCACCCTCCTGCTCAGAACCTCCAGTGGCTCCTCGCCATCTTGAGAAGACAGTCCGAGCACCGAACTGTGGTCCACAGACCCTGCCTGAGCAGTGGGGCCCTATGCCTGCAGGACAACAGTCTAGACCAGTGATGGCGAACCTTTTGAGCTCGGCGTGTCAGCATTTTGAAAAACCCTAACTTAACTCTGGTGCCGTGTCACATATAGAATTTTTTGATATTTGCAACCATAGTAAAACAAAGATTTATATTTCTGATATTTATTTTATATATTTAAATACCATTTAATAAAGAAAAATCAACCAAAAAAATGAGTTCGCGTGTCACCTCTGACACACGTGTCATAGGTTCGCCATCACTGGCCTAGACAGTGAGGCCAGGGGAGGGCAAGACGACAGAGTCTCCAGAAACGTAGGTTGGGTCATCATTCACCGCTGGGACTACCACGGCTTAGATGTTCTCATGGCGACATTATAGCCAGTGGGTAGACCCACGCGCATGGAGCTTAGGGGACAGGTCATGGCTAAAGACACACGTTTGGAAATCCTCCAGGCACGGACATCACGGAAAGCAAGGAGCTGAAGGAGTTACTTGTGGCAGCCCAGCCCCAGGCTGGGGGTGCGGGCTTTGGAAAGCTTCCCCAGGGGGCAGCCTCTCCTCCCTTCCACCACCTCCCCTCCTCAGAAAATTCAGGAATGCTTCACTCTGGGGGGTAGTGTCTGCTCAGCATCAGCTTCTTCAGGGAAAAGTCCTGGCATAATTTGGGGGCACATTCTAGGCTACTGGGTCTTCTGCATGTGGAAACTGGCGAAGAGCATAAGGAGGGTCGATGGCAGAGCTGATCACATACAGACTTCTGAAAATGGCCCTATTTTCATCTCCTCCCCGAGGCTAGAGGTGCTATGGGGCTCAGAGCTGGGAGGCCTACATCATGCCACCCTCGTACCCCTGCAGGGCGTTTGGGGCGGGGCTTCCTCTATCCTGTGGGATCCTCTGGGCCTCCTTCTGCAGCCAGAGATATGCTGAACCTTCAATGTATTATAGGCTCCTTCTCCTTCCTCTTCATTGTCATAAGTTGATTCCTTTTTGAGTTCCGTACTTTTCCTTTAAAGCAGTGGTTCTCAACCTTCCTAATGCCGCGACCCTTTAATACAGTTCCTCATGTTGTGGTGACCCCCAACCATAAAATTATTTTCGTTGCTACTTCATAACTGTAATGTTGCTACTGTTATGAATCGTAATGTAAATGTCTGATATGCAGGATGTATTTAGGCGACCCCTGAGAAAGGGTCGTTGGACCCCCCAAAGGGGTCGCGACCCACAGGTTGAGAACCGCTGCTTTAAAGGCATTTTGGGAGGCAGGACTCAGTGTGCGATAAAGAGCAATGAAAAGAGGCCTTCCTGCTAGGATTCTTTTGGCAAACCTCACGCTTATTCCACAGTGTGAGGATCATTTTAATGAACTAAAAGCGTGTGAATGGAATTACGATAAAAATTACTGTTAGCCCAGTTGGCATGGCTCAGTGTTTGAGCATCGACTTATAAACCAGGAGGTCACTGTTCGATTCCAGTCAGGGCACATGCCCATGTTGTGGGCTCGATCCCCAATAGTGGGTACGTAGGAGGCAGTGGACCAATGCTTCTCTCTTATCATTGATGTTTCTATCTTTCTCTCCCCCCACACTTCCTCTCTTTGGCACATCTCTCCATCCATTTAGGTCACACTTTACGTCTTTCAAAATGTTCTACAGTTAGCATCATGATTTGCATTTTCCTGTTATAGTTATGTTTGTCCTTTTTTTTATGAGATGGTTTTAGTCACATCTATAAAAGGATTTCCCCCACTTCTATTTCTATCAGACTAATACCAGTATATTAAAAAAAAAGCTATTGGTTTCTGTGTATTATATTATATGCCATGAATTACTGAAGTTTGCTTTTTAGTTTCAACAAGTGTTTTTTTTAAATCTCTTATCTAGGTATGAAAATTCTCGCAACTGCGAGTAATAATCAGTTTTAGTCTTAATATTTATTTTTCTTACCTGTAATATACCACCACCCATCGCTGTTGACTATTAGTGGTGGCAGAAGGGACTCCTCTTTTCTCAGTTTTAATGAAAATGCTTTCAGTGTTTATTAATTTCTAGGAAATAACTTTCAACATTTTGGGAAGATTCACTCTATCTTAAATAAAGTTTTAAAAAATTAAGAGTGGCCAGTTGAACTTTTTTAGCATTGACCATGTTTTTACTCTCCTTCAATTTCTTAAAATTATTAAATTATACTTTTCCAATGCTTGAACTATTCTTGAATTCATGGATCAAACCCTATTTGGTCATATTGGTCCTTTTAATACATTACTAGATTTGATTTACCTTTTCTTTTAAATTTTCTTACCTATATTCATAAGTAAACGTGATCTTCAATTGTTCTGTATTATTTTAAAGTAGGCTATGGCTTTAGACATATTACAGCTTTATGACAATGAGCCAGGGAGCTTTCCATCTTCCTCTACACTCTGAATTATTTACATAGCATAGGAGTTGTCTAGTCTTTGAAAATTTGGAACTCATATGGAAAACCACTTAGTCCTGCAATATTGCAATGACAGATCTTGGAGATGCGAAACAACACATT